CTTCTTGGTAAGGCAACCTTGAGCTCCAGATCTGCGGGCGAAGCAGCTCGGGAGGAAGCCAGAAAGGAAGGCGCAACCCCAGCGCCAGGGACCCCTGACCCCTTCCTGAGGCTTGAGCAGGAGAACTGCACCCGCCCCCCCAGGGGGGAAATTGGAAAGAGCGAGGAATGGCGCCCTTCCTTTCCCCCCTTGGAAGGAACACTTTAAATAGCCCTTGAGGTCTGTGAGTAGTTTTCTCTCTCCCCGCTTTGCCTTCCTCCGCGTTGTCCGCGTGGATTTCTCTGCGGAGCCAGCGGACCTGCTGGTTCCGGGAAACTTCATGAGCAGACGCTCGTTTGTCAGAAGGGCAGAGAGGAGGAGGAAAGGTAAACTGAAATCGGTGCGGACTGGTGTTCTCCATGAAGGCCTTGGAGAAGATATTCAGGTGCTTGATGTGTCTGTATCTACAATGATCAAAACTGCAAGCCGCAGTATCCCGTGACCTCTATGGAAGTGAAAGTTGGACGGAAGACGCAGGATAGGAAGATGATTGACCCTTTTGAACTTTGCTGTTGGAGGAGGCTCCTGAGAATACCGTGGGCAGCCAAGAAAACAAACTGAGGGATCATCAAACCAACCAGCCAGAGTTCTCGCTTGAGGCACACATGACCAGGCTCAAATTATCCCACTTCGGACACATTATGCAAAGACCTGGCATATTGTCTCTGTTGCTGAGAAAGGTGGGAGCAAAGAGAAGAAGAGGACGACCAGCAGTAAGGGGGAGGGACTCAGTTACATGACGGTGGTGGCACCCTTGGAAGAGCTGAAGGACCCAGTTAGGGGCAGATCATCCTGGAGAACGTCTGTCTGTGTGGTTGGAAGGAGCTGACTTGAAGGTGCACGATCAGTCACCAGCAGCATTCCCTAATTTCCTGCCCTCCAAAGATGCATTGTACACAACAAATCGAGGATGATGTTTATGACCCAGAACGTATGGGAGGCACATCTGAGGTTCATCTCTCGGTCTGGAGAGCCAGACCAGAATCTGCACACTCCCAGTCGACAGGAGTGCAGCAATGCTGTGCCAGGCTGCCCCTTGCCCCTTGCCATTCTTCCTCAATCTCCTTTCCCTTCAAAGGAGGCTTCTGTTTTTCCACCTTAGGCTGGGTGAGGATTCCTTTCCAATTTCTCTTGGGGAAGGCTGCTGCTGGTGCGGATGCTTTTCCTGCCCTTGGCCCCCACGTGGTGCTTCACAAACACCCATCAAGGGCACACAAGACCGGTTGTGGTTTCCAAGGCAGGCTTCCCCATCTTTCTCTACTTGGGGCTGGGTTTTTGCAACAGTCATGGTGGAGAAGCACTGATTTCAAAAGTGGGGAAGGGGAGGGGAAAGTGGAGCCCCCCCAACCTTGGTTCCTTTGGATTTATTTTCTTCTTGAGCACGTGTTCCTGGGGGGGAAAGAGTACCATGACCTTCCTGGAGCTGACTTCAAAGCATTGGCAGGGCCATCAAAGAACTGGTTCTCTTTCCCTCTGGAATTTAAGCAGATCAGTCCAAACTGGATGGGAGGCCAATTTTATCTGTAAACGTTGTAGGAGGACAGCCAGGTTAGTCTATAGTAGTCAAAAATGAGGAGGAGCCTGCGAGCACCTTTTCTGACATGTTTATGCCTTTAAAAAATGGTTAGTCTGAGAAAATGCCAGCAGACTCCTGATTTTCAATTTCTCAAGGAAATCCCAAGGCTGTAAGAAGAATGGGGGAGGGGGGATATTACTGGACCTAAAACACTAGAATCATATCACACCTCTTGAAGCTGGGGGTGATGGCAATCCGGCTTAAAAACAGTGCCTTTCAGAGGCATAATATGACTTACGCCAGTGTTTCTCAACCTCAGCCACTTACTCCCAGAATTCTGGGAGCTGAAGTCCACACTTCTGCAAGTGGCTGAGGTTGAGAAACTCTGCCTTATGCTAAATCTAATATGCATTTCTGCCACATGCAGCAACCCTGGGGTTGTGACTGGTCACTCCTCGCTTTCCTCCGATCACCCCTGGCTGAAGTAATGCAACATTTGAGATTGAAGAGCTTCAGATGCCTGGTGGATCTCACACCCAGCCCAAGGATCCTCAAAGCCCACCCTTCCCCACCCTGGCCCTTTTTCAGACCTTGGAGAAGATGTATGAGGCTACAGCTCCTGTCATTCTCTGCCAGCTGAGGGATTGTGGGAGATGTAGTTCCAGAGTTGGGGGCCAACAGTGCCACCTGCCTGTCGCTTTGGGGTTTCCTGCTCAGTTTGCTTGTGCCTATGAGCCAGAGAGGGGAGGGGTGGGGCAGGGGGACGGTCCATGGGGAAACTGAGTCTGAGAAGCAGATGTTCCATCCAGTTTCGGCAGATCTGGTTTGTCTCCAGGGGTTAAGTGAGCAGATGTTCTGCATTTCCTCTACAGCCGCCATGCTAAGAAGTCTTTGGGGTGGTTTTTTTCTTGTCTGGCTTATATTTCCCTTTCTAAAATGAAGGCAGAAACAACAATCCACTTTTAAATAGGTTTCAACCCCCTTTCTTCCCTCCCCCCCTCCCCATTTTTTCCTGAGTAAAGTCATTGCTATGAACTGGGGTGGCTACGTAAAGAACCTAAATAATTGATAAATGAATAAAGTTGGCTTCTTACGATGTTTACTCCTGTTTGAATTGTTAATCTGTCCGTTCTGTTTCTGAGGTTTTATAGAGTGATATCATGTTATCATTAGTCCTTGTGAGGGTTTTGTCCTAAAAGGTGAGGTGCATATAGATTAAATCAAGGACCCGGCCCACATTCCCTCCCCAAAACCTTACGCGTTGCTCCCGGAACTGAGTGCAAATTCAGCCCAGGGCTGGGATCATTCTTCTCATGGCAACTTCATTTCAGATCCTAAGACACCCCCCAATATTATGGGCTTTCCCATTCACACAGTACGTTAATTCTCACCATTGAGCGAGGCTTCAAGAATACTTCTCACCCGGAAGAGCGTGGCTTATTTACTCTCATTTTGATTTTTATTACTTTGGCTTATAAGCAGCTCCATGTCCAAAGACGCTTAAGCTTGCAACCTGATTGCTTCGATGGCCCTCTTCTGCCCCTTTCCCCATCCTCTCCCCAGTGTGGAGACCCAATCTATGTACAGTATTCCAGATGCAGACATGCAACAGATTTATATAAGGGCATTACAGTGTTGGCAGGTTTATTTTCACTGCTGTTGCCCAGCATGGGATTCGTCTTGAAATGTATTCCAAGTGTGATAGTGCTTCCCATTTCCATTCTTTCCTGCAGTGACATGAGGTCTACAGACTTGTCGTATTTTTAAAGGGTGAGCTTTACGGCCCTGTGCAAGTTTCTAGCCCCTCTCGCCGGGGTGCCACTGAGCACAAGGGGCACAGGCTATCACCACTAGCGACATAGCCAAGGCACCTAGCTCCGGTTTGTGGTTGTGCAACGCCGGGCAGAGGATCCGAGGATGACTGTCAGCAGAACATCTGAGAGCACTTTTTCACACCAAGTAAGCAAGCTTGTGAAAGCGCCTGCCTCTTAATCAAATCTATCAGTCTGAAAAAAGGGCTACCAGACTCCTCCTGATTTTTGGCTACCACAGACTAACACGGTTCTCCTCTTGCTTTGTAGGCAAGCTGGTTTCTCTCGCTTTGAGATGCCAAACACCCAGCACCAGATCACTGAAGATCCTGGAGAAGAAAACAAGTGACGGCAAAGTAACATGGTAGAAATGAGTCTGAATGTTGGTGCTTCTTCTGAGGATGGCCGTGAAAAACTGTCAGGACAGGAAGTTATTTGACCTGTGATGGAATCAGTGGCAGTGATGTGGATGCTGTGAGTCACGCCATAGGTGGGCATCCCTGTTGCTAGTGATGCCCTTCAATTGTCAGGGAATGTGGGGTTGGAGGGCTAGCAATGGAAAGGACAGTTGATGGCGCACAGAGCTCAGTGTGCCCGGAACTAAGGCAACTGACCCTTCTGCAGCGTAAAATCCCAACAGACTGTGCAGAGAGATGAACAAACATGCACAACTTGGGAAATGGATGGCAGAAGTGCTCAAGGGCAGATAGACAAGGGGGTCGGGGGAGGCTCAGCCCACGTGCACCTGCGCACATCCCTCCGTGCCTCCGCTTCTCTGCGTCCATGAGAGACGGGCTGAAGGGCTGGGCAGAAAAGAAATGACAGACTCAGAGCCGGCATCCAGAGTGGAAGGAAGGGGCAGTGTGAAAGGCTGAATTGTCTATGGTTTTAAAAAAAGAAAATGGTTGAATTTGAATCTGGCCATTTTGCATGAGTGAAGGTTGTTGGGCTTGGCAAAACTGTGGTGCTTCAGAGGGAGACAAAGCAATGGATTAACTCAAGATCTGAAGTGGCTCCTTTCAGATAGACAGTCTTCCCCCTTGTCCGGCCCAACTGGCACAGCCTTCGGGCTGCTTGTGCACCCATCTGCAGTTCCTCTTGGTAGGTTCACAAGGCGCTCGTATAGCTGGACTCAAATGCAGCCTCCTCCGGGGCAGGTTTAGCCCTCCTTGACAGACTTCTATAGGAGAAGCAGGATCGTCCGGTGGAAGGAGTTTCAGGGCTCTCTTCATTCAACTGTGGATAGATCCAAGGAACCCAGTCAGAGGGAGAACCTCAAGGATCTAGTCAAGCTGAAGAAAGCTCTCCTGATGCTAAAGCAGGAGAGGGAGCTAGCTGTTGTATCTCTGCATGAACTACTGTTCTGTTCTGCAAATGCATGTTGCTGTTCTCCCCTTTTCTTAGGCAGAACCAAAGCAGCCTGATATAAGATATACTGTAGATCAGTGTTACTCAACCTTGGCCACTTGAAGATGGGTTGACTTCAGCTTCCAGAAATTCCCAACCCCCACTGCTCGCCTGGGGAATTTTGGGGGTGGAAGCCCGGCATCCTCAAATGGCGAAAGGTTG